AACATATTCTGACCTTGGAAAATCACCCTTTCTATGAACACAGCACATTCAAAGGGGAATCCAGTTCATTCATCAGGCTTTAAGGTGGGCATGGAAATAGCAAAAGTGTTACAAGGAGATTGAAGGGGGAAAAAAATCCCTGATGTGAGAACCTAGAGCTCAGGTCTTAGTAGCTTGCACATACCTTCCAGTATGCAGGAGCTTCTGGGATTTATATGATTGATATCCAGGTCTACTTCCCATCACCTGATGACTGAATCCAGTGATTGATGAGCCAGAATTAACATGGACCTGGAAAATTCACCCAATTTTTCATATTTCAAATTTCAATCCAACACACTCCCCTGAACTCTTAGAGCAATATCTGAAATAATTCATCTCTTTCCTTGCAAGTAGGATTGAGAGATGAATACGAGGTATGAACATTGCAGGATCTTACCCAGAAGATAATCAGAAAATGATAATAATAACTAATAGCTAGATTTAAAGTTTGCAAAGCATTTTACATATATTATCTCATTTGAGCCCCAAAGCAATCCTGCAAGATAAGTACTATGTTTATCTTCATTTTACAGATGAGGCTGAGAGGCTATGTAACTTGTCCAGGGTCACACAGCTAGTAAATTACAGAGCTGGTATTTGAACTCACTTTATCTGATCATAAATCCAGTGCTTCGGTCCATACACTCTCTCTAATTAGGAATTAATTAATAATTAGGAAAGAAGACCTAAATGCCTTACCGAGGGTGAAGGTAGTGGGTAAGGAAGGACAGGGGATCATTGGATGGGGATATTGTCAACCCCTTGGACAGAGGTGATAGAAAAGCCAAGCGCTGTGATTTACTTTGGCACTTGTCAAAAAAAAACCCCAATAATGAGCAATTTGCAGCTGAGAGGAAGTGTACCACCCTTTTGGATATAGAAGAGAAATGAGGGAGGGATGGGAGGAGGCGAGGAGTAGGGTTTATAAAGATGAACAGTTGACTTCTCCCTCCAATAATTAGGAGCTTGCCTCTACCGTGAAATCTTGTGGTCATTTTTTTGGCTTTTGGATGACAATTTGGAGACAGGGGGACATTCAGGGTTCAGGAAGAACATGGAAATATTGTAGAGATCCCTAATAAGAGTTCTCTGATGAGGATATGTCACTGGATCTCCTCCAGATTGCCAACCCCCAGAAAGATGGCTAGAGGAGATCAAATTATGTCTGGGTCCATCCTGCCATTGGTTAGTGTTTCAGCATTCTCTGTCCCATTGGTGGGGAGGAGTCTTTCAGTTTTAAAGTCTAGAACGGTAAGCGCCTTCCTGAGACAGCTGGCTAATGGCTGTGTCTCTGAGATGCCACTTATTAGAAACTCCACTCCACCAACCTCAGGGGAAATTTGAGACCCCTACATGTAACCCTGCTGATCTTGAGAAGTTATTTCATTTCTATGGACCTCAGTTTCCTCATCTGGAAAATGAGAGGGTTGGATTAGATATCTCTACTGTCCTTTCCACTTCTAAATCCTATAATTATATCATTTTGTAATCAGGAATATTATCTGAACCTGACCGACCACATTCAGAAGAAATCTGCTCTGGAGGTGACAGGTTTAAAAGCCCTTAAAGGTTCTTTCTGTCTGTTCAAAAGGTAGAAGAGAGCAAAGTCTTATGGCAGACAGCGTATGCTTCCCAGAAGGAGCCAAACATTTTCTGGAACAAGAAATGGGGGGAATATAGCTGCTTGGGGACACAGCCAAAGAGAAGCTGCCCAGATGCTTCAAGAACATTAGGCTTGGCTTCAAGATACTCAAAGAGACCATCAAGGGTAACTATATTGACAAGAACAGTCCCTTCACTGGGAATGTCTCCATTTGAGGGAGGATCTTGTCTGGTATGGTGACCAAGATGACGATGAAGAGGACAACTGCCATTTGCTAGGACTACCTGCATTACATCCACAAAGACAACCAATTCAAGAAGTTCCACAAGTGCCTATCACTCTGCTTCCAAGATGTCCAGATTGGAGACACTGAGTTTTGCTGGCCCCTAAGCAGGACTCTGAAGTCCAATGTGCCGGAAGGTCACTGAGGCAGATGGGATCAAAACACAATTCTAGAAGTTCTGAACTGTAGCCAATGATTGGGTGGGTGATGGTGCGCATGGTGTCTGCCTGGACCTGACCAGCTACCCTGCCAATAAAGGTGTTCCCCATTCCCATCCCACCCCCCAAAAAATAAATAAGAGCATTTAGGAACTGGTTTTCAAGCTATCTTGAAGAGAATTTGGTGTTGAGAGATCCAGTGATATAGTGACTTTCCCCCCCATTAAAACAATCAGTCAGTCAATGAGCATTGAATAAGTGCTTACTATGCACTGGAAAGACAGAAAAACAAGCAAATAAATATTGTCCCTGCCTTCAAAGAGTTCACTTTCTAATTGGAGAGACAAACAAATAACTATGACTATACAAGATATATACAGAGTAAATGGTGAAGGGAGGTAATCTCCGAGGGCAGGCACTACTACTAGGGTATCTACTTGTTTATATAAGAGTTATCTGCTTGAATAGACAAAAATGGTTACAAGTGTCTGAAATGATAGGAAGGAGGGAGGTTTGTTTCCACAGGCAACACAATAACTAGGATGGATGATTTGAGCTTTGTCCAGGTTGGCAAAATTTACAAGGCACTGATCACACTTTAAATTTCTTCACCGATATAGAAACAACTGAGTAAGCATTGGGCTGGCAAGAATAATGAATTCAAATAGGAAATTACTAGATAGTGTATACTTCCTGTCTCAGGCTCCCCACTCTCCACCTCCTTGCTATACCCCAAGTGACCTTATTCCTTCCCTTCAACTAAATTTGTCTTCAAAAGTTGATTCACATGGGTTTTTCATGTTCTCGCCCAAGTTCCATGTTGTGAAACTTACCCAAGGAGTGAAAATGTTAGTTATGATTCTGCCCATAGGTGCAAGGTTTATGTTACCAGCATAGGCATGCATAGACCAGATTTGCCTCAAGGGCAGAGCCTAATGAAACACATCCTCAGATCATGCCACACCCAACCCACCTCTGGCTTCTGGTGAGGGGCTGTGGAGGAGAGAGAAGGGAAGAAGATCACCACAGATCAGCTACTAGACTGAGGATGGGGAGACAGCAGCAAAGACTGGTGCCCCACAACAAAGGTGCCAGTAACTATTATGGATTGGTGCACTTCTGAATAGGGAAAATAAAAAGTGTAGTAAAGTGATAACTGTCATGGAATAGATCCCTTGTTATGAAAAATGTGGCATAGTAGCCAAGAGTACATGTGACCTCATGAGGCTGATTTTGAGCTGAGCTTCTCCTGTTTTATGGCAGAACCCTTCCTTCTGCCTTGCATGGCCAAGTAGGGGCCACTATGTGAGACTCTGGGATATGAGAAGCACATATACAATGCAGTAGATAGAGCCTGGGAGTTCAAATCCTGCCTCAGACATTTATTAGCTGTATGACCCTGAACAAATCATTTGACTTGTTTGTCTAAGTTTTCTCAAATGTAAAATGAGGATAATAATAACACTCTCACTTTGTTTATTTTTATTTTGTTTATTTTTTTTTTTGCTAGGCAACTGGGGTTAAGTGACTTGCCCAGGGTCACACAGCTAGTACCTGTTGTGTGTCTGAGACTGTATTTGAACTCAAGTCCTCCTGACTTCAAGGCTGGAGCTCTATCCACTGCACCACCTAGTTGCCCCAAATAACCCACTCTCAGGGTTATTATAAGGATCAAATGAAATGTATTTGTAAAGAGCTGAGCACAGCACAAAGCACATAGTAGGTGCTTGAATGTTTCCTTTCTTCTTTCCTTCTTTCCTCCTTTCATTCCTCCCTCCCTCTCTGTCTCTCCCTTCCTTCCTTCTGTCCTTCTTTCTTTCCTTCCTTCCTCTGTAACCCTTAAAGCCACAGGTTGAAAGCCAACAGCCAAAAAAATGGAAAATATCATGGATAGTACTTTAACTGCTCCCAAGCTGTTCTTGCCCACAGCATTATCATCATAGTTAGAATATATATAGTGCTTCAAGGTTTGCAGAACTTAAAATAACACTTTCATTCGACCCTCACAGCAACCTTATCAGGTTTACCTTACCATTATTATCTCTATTTTATTGACAAGAAAACAAGCATACAGAGTTTGCCCAGGCTCATACAACTAGTAAATGTGTAAGGCAGCATTAGAACCCAGGTTTTCATGACTCCAAGTCCTGTACTCTACCCACTCAGACACTGAGCTGCCTCCTTTTTAGAAGTTTCTCCTGATGATTCAATATGGTGACAAATCATGGAAAACCACAATGTCAAGAGAATCAAAATGTCAGCTGTCCTCCTGACTCCGGGTCCAGCACTCTGCTCACTGTACCACCTGGCGCCCATGACATTAAAAGGACCAGAAGTGTCTCCTCTATGGTGGATTTATAAAAAGGCATGGATGAGAAGAGCTGTGAAGGACCACCATCTACTCCAGGGGAGAGATCATGGGTCCATCAAAGTAAGTTGTATCTTTCACCAGCAGTAAAATCCTTCCATGGGGGAAAAAAAAAAGAAGGAAATATAACAAAATAAACATGGTATGTTTTGTTTCTGTCATCACAGTTCAGGGGGAAAATTCATCAAAAATGTCCTAAGCACTAAATCGGCCAATAGATGGCTTTTAAAAAACTGAACTTTGTAACAGGAAAAATTCACTCTCAGTGAGTGAAAGCTCTTGAGCCAAGTTTACACAGAGGGAAAATTTTTATAGAATGTCAGGAATGAAGGGAGGGAAAAGCAGGGAAGGGGGGAAGTTGAATGAAGAAGTGGGGGGGGAGGTGTGAAGCATCAGAATCCAGATTGCTTTAAATGGCCAAGCCAAAGTTGATGAGAACTCAGGAACTGCCCCTCTGCAGAGAGGCCACTGAGCTCTCCCTTCCTGTCTGGCCTCTAGATGCACCAGCCAAATATTACAAAACATCCTTTTCCCTCTAGCCAAGAATTCAGCTCTGGAGACCAGCCCCTTCACTGTCACTCCCTATGCCTCTCACTCCCTACTCTTTCCTCTGGATACCTTCTCACGATCACTGGTCAGAGAATCTCCCTGCCTCACAAGGAGCAATGAATCTGGTGTAGCAGGTAGCACAAGCGGGAGAGACAACCACCCTCCACACACCCCCTACACTCCGGGAAAGCTGCAATCTCTGAGGTAGGAAACCAATTGGAGAGCAGAACTGGGAAATTCTTGCTGGCACTGACTTTCCGAGAACCAACAATACACTAGGCTGACACTGTGTCACTAGAAGCCTTTTAAACATTGGGTGTGGGTGTGTTCACTGATAAGGGAGGGTGCAGGGAGTGGGATAGAATCTGGGTTGTGCTAAAATTTAGTCTAGGATTCTTTTTTTCTCTTTTTAATTTTTCTTCTTTCAATTTAACTCTAATGCTCCAGTCCCTGGGAGTGCAAGTTTTGTTTAGGAATTGGTGTGGGAAATGTTTACTGAAGAATTCTGGGAAACAGATGTTGTCAAGGAGAAGGGGATTTTCTGATTGCCTGAAATGTCAAGTGGCATTTGTAAATACTGTAAACTCTGTTTATATCAGGGGAAAGGAACTAGGGTGGTGTAGTGGAGCCAGAGCACCAGGCTAGGATTGAGAAAACCTGAGTTTGAGTAGCAGTGATGACATTAACCAAGTTCATAAAGGTGGGCAATACAGTTGTCCTTTTTGGAGCCTCAGTGGTCTCATCTGTGAAATGGAAGACACAACTGTGTGCAATGGAGAATTAGAGGACCTGGAAGATAGGAGAAGTGTGTCCCAATCTTGGTTCTATGTAACCTTTTTGAAATCATTCCTCCCTTCTGGGTTTCTATTTCTCCATCCAGACAATGTGAAGTTTGGACTAAATGTTCCCTTCTAGCTCTAATCGTCTAACAACAACCTCTGAAATGACCAAGAAGAAAGGAGCTGGGAAAAGGTCCTTATGATCTGAGGAACCCCACCAGTCTGAAAGGGAACTGATTAGTCATTGGTACATCACCAACATACAGCTGAAACAATAGTAAAAACATTTTACATCTATTTTATCTCATGAAAACTCCTCACAAAAACTCTGTGATATACATGCAATTACTTTTCTCATTTTACAAAGAGGAAACTGAGGCTCAGAATGTAAGTGACTTGCCCAGGGTCCCCCAGCTAGTAAGCGTCTCTGGCAGGATTCAAACCCAGGTTTTCCCGATTCAAGGCCAGAATTCTATCCACTACCTATTTCATATATGACTATGCTACTTACTCAGCATCACTGGAATGGGAGCTTTATATGTTTCTCCCTATACCCAACAGTGCTAGTCTGTGTGGTAGCAAACATCTTGGGATCACTAAAAGTGTTTTCTACAATATTTTCTATTCTTTTGGATGTTAGCCTTCAACCCACTCATAGGCATGGTGCAAGGGTTAGAGTAATATGGTAATTTAGTAACTAGACACACTTCATTCCCCTCTTGGCCACAGCACCAGACAGAGAGAGCAGCTCTGCTATAAACTATAATGGAGAGAAAGCTAGTCCCAAAGTCAGGAAGAGCTGGCTTTAAGTCTTGCCTCTGACGTACAGTCAAGTCATCTAACCTCTCACGGCACCGAGCAATTCTTTAAAACTATAACTTGCTGCACTGGTACAAATTTCCTCACCATTTCTCAACACTAGTGAAATAAGAAATCTAGACAGGGAGGTGAGGGAGAGAGAAGACAAAGATATATCTGTACTGAGCCAGTGCTTCTTCCAATCAAGGACTTGCATTGCTGAGACAGCTGGCTGGCGTGAAGGATGCCATCTGTGAGCATGGGAAAGGGCAAGACAAATTGACCCACAGCAAGACTGATGTTGCGGCCTTAGCTTCATCAGCCCTGGACTTCAAACAACTGAATGGGCTTGCTTTATAACACAAACACTCCCACCAGAATGAGGTGGAGATTAGCAGGGCCCCTGTACAAAGGTGAATTTAGGCAGATTCCTGAAGTGTTCCACACTGCGGCATCCCATTTCTCTGAACTCCTACAGTACTTTGTATTTGCATCACTCGTAGGATCATAGGACTTAGAGCTGGAAGAGACTTTTAGAGATCAGCTAGTCAAAACACCCTCATTTTACAATAAGAAAAAATGAGGTCTAGAAAAAGGAAATGACTTGTCCAAGGTCACATGGCTGATAAATAGCAGAATCAGGATCACAGAACCATAGGTTTAGAGCAAGAAGGGACTTCGGATATCATCTAACTCCCTCATTTGTAGATGAGGACACCAAAGTCCAGAAAGATTGTGATTTGTTCAAGATTTGGAACTCGAAATTTTAAAAAACATGTAATATCCATGTAATTGGGGAAAAAATAAAATATTATTCATATTTTAACAAAAAAGATCACAGGCAGGAAATAGTAGAATCAAGATTCAAACCCAGGTCCTTTAATTTTAAATTCAGAGTTTTCCCCATTGTTCCATATTGCTTCTCTCATTTGGCATTTAATCTAGCATTACTGGCATCAATGACTGTGGTAGAATGAAAAGGGAGATGAATCTGGAACTATGAGGATTGGGTTTGAGTTGTGGACTTCACACAGCTTCTTAGCTGCGTGATCTCAAGTGAGTCTGTGAGCCTCAGTTCCTTTATCTCTAAAATGTGGATTATATTACTTGTACTGAATACTTCATTGGAGCTGAGGCTTGAGCATTGAGCTGAGGCTATATGGTGGAAAAAAGAATAAAAAAAACACATAAATGAATAGTTTTGCTATATATTACTAACAAAACCCAGGGGGAGCAGATAGAGAAACTCCATTCAAAATAACTACAAAATGCATAAAATATTTGGGTGTTAACCCACTAAGACACACGTTATATGTATATAAATGCACCTATAAAACACTTTATAAAAATAGAGGAAGATCTAAACAATTTCGAAAGACATCCAATGTCCATGCCTCTGCTGTACCAATACAATAAAAATGATGATACTACATGAATTAATTTATAGATTTAGTGCTACCAAGAAGTTGTTTTATAAAATTAGGCAAAATAATAACAAAAATTCATTTAAAGGAACAAGAAGTCTAGGATATTCAGGGAAATAATGAAAAGCAATAGTAATGAAATTGGAATAGCAGGACCAGATTTACCTTCCTACTTGTTTGAAAATAGAAACTCAGAGGGCACAGCTAGGTGGCTCAAGGGACAGGGCATGGGCCCCGGAGTCAGGAGGACCTGATTTCAAATCCGACCTCAGACACTTGATACTTACTAGCTGTGTGACCCTGGGCAAGTCACTTAACCCCATTGCCTAGCCAAAAAAGAAAAAAGGAAAATAGAAACACAGATCAATGGAACAGAGTGGGGAGAAAAGAGCATGAACTAGAAGCAATCACAATATTTCATTGCTTGATAAACCCAAGGAAGCAAACTACTAGAGGAAGGAATCCCAATTCAGCAAGTACACCTGGGAAAACTGGAAAGCAGTTTGGTAGAAATTACGTCTAACCCCACATTTTGCACTCTATGCCACAATAAACTCTAAATGGACAAATGACCTAAATACAAAAGATCACATTATATAAAAAGTTGGAGGAGAAGAGAAAGAGGTACCTTTCTGATCTCTGGTTAGGGGGAGGATTCTTTTTTTTTCTTCAATTTTTTAATGTTTTATTTAAAGTTTTGAGTTCCAAATTTTATCTCCCCCTTTCTTCCTCTCTTCCCCCTTGCTGAGACTGTAAACAATCAGGTATAGATTATACATGTGCAATTACAAAAAACATTTCCATATTAGTCATTTTGTATGAGAAAACTTGAAAAAAAGAAAACATGAAAGTTAAAAACAGAATGCTTCAGTCTGTATTCAAATAATATCAGTTCTTTCTCTGGAGGTGGACAGTATGCTTCATCATCAGTCCTTTGGGATTAATTGTCTTGGATCACTGTATTGCTGAGAATAGCTAAGTCATTCACAATTCTTCATCAAAAAATATTGCTGTTACTGTGTATAGTGTTCTCCTGGTTCTGTTCACTTCACCATACATCAGTTCATGTAAGTCTTTCCAGGTTTTTCTGAAATCATCCCGCTTGTCATTTCTTATAGCACGATAATATTCCATTACAATCATATACCACAACTTGTTCAGCTATTCTCCAATTAACGGACATGCCCTCCGATTTCCAATTCTTAGCCACCACAAAAAAGGCTGCTATAAATATTTTTGTACAAATAGGTCTTTTTCCCCTTTTTTTTTAAAATGTCTTTGGGATATAAATCTAGCAGTGGTATTGCTGGCTCAAAAGGTATGCACAGTTTTATTGCCCTTTGGGCATAGTTCACAAATTGCTCTCCAGAATGACTGGATTAGTTCACAACTCCACCAACAGTGCATTAGTGTCCCAGTTTTCCCACACCCCCTCCAACATCGAACATTTCCTTTTTGTCACACTGGCCAATCTGATAGGTATGAAGTGATACCTCAGAGTTGTTTTAATTTGCATTTCTCTAATCAATAGTGATTTAGAGCATTTTTTCATATAACTTTAGATAGCTTCAATATCCTTTGACCATTTATCAACTGAGGGATGACTTGTATTTTTATAAATTTAACTCAGACCTTTATATATTTAAGAAATGAGGCCTTTATCAGAGATAATTGTTGCAATATTTTTTCAGATTTTCTGCTTTCCTTATAATTTTGGTTGCAATGGTTTTGTTTGTGCAAAAAAGGTTTCAATTTTATATAATCAAACTTGCTTCTCTATAGCTTCTTTGGTCCTAAATTCTTCTCTTTTCTTTAATCTAGGGGGAGGGTTCTCAACCAAGCAAGGGAGAGAAGTGATCATAAAAGGCAAGACTGGGACTGTTTCACTTTTGTCTGTGCCTTCAATGCTTAATACAATGCCAGATGCTTAGTAGGTGCTTAATACACGCTTGTGGGTTGACAAAATAGATCATTTCAACTGCATAAAACGAAAGATTTTATGCATGCAAAGAAGAGATAGAACTGCACGCTTAGGGTAGATGGAATAGCACTTTGCATAGTGCCTGGCATGTAGTAGATGCTTAATAAACGATTAGTATTGATTAGTTGATTGATAACTATCATTGAGGAGAAGGCAGACTTACTCAGCTTTTATATTACTTCTGTTTTCTCTCCCTAGGAAAATAATCTCTGCATTGAAAAG